CCGTACCGTCGTACGTCGTACGTACGTAGTACGACGTACGACGTACGTACTACTACGTAACTAAAGTAAGTAAGTAGTAGTACGTCGTTCGTCGTCTCTCTCTCTCTCTCTCTCTCTCTCTCTCTCTCTCTCTCTCTCTCTCTCTCTCTCTCATGTATATGCGTGCCACCTTATTCCCTCACTGGAATCACAATGTTTGCTTATATGCAACTCATGACATCACATTCATTCTCTCTTATGTGAGTATTATTCTATAGTATTTTTAGTCTCGTATGCATTTCTATCTCATCAAATAAATCATGTACACAAATGCTGGGAGTTTCGTTTGGGTTTCGCAATCCCCCTCAATATCTTGCTCTAGTGATCATGAAGCCAGCGCCCAAGCTCGCTCGTCGCACCAAGGGACCTCAATCTCTATCTTACAAGGATTTCGATCTCTGACTAAAAAGGGATTTCCATTGTTCTGGAAGGGGATCGCAATTCCACTGAATATGGGGTGTAATCATGGTTTGATGGGATCTCAATCCAAGGGGAAGTTTCAAAAGTTCTTGAACTTTGAACCCAATGTCTTTGATTGTCTATTTTTTTGCTTTCAAACCCCTATAGACAATTCTTTTTTCCCTTTTCATGGCCTGGCTTGCATAAAAGGTTGAAAGCAGGCCAATCGACGACGAAACAGATGAATTGGACCAAAGAGGTCATCACAGTCTCCAGTCTCCACTATAGGGAATCACCACGTCTCGTCCAGTTGGAGACTCGGACAACTCTTAAGTTTAGTTCTTATCATGGCCCTTCAATATCATTTTTTTTCTCAATTTTTATGGAACTTTCAGGCTATAGAGTTCTCATTGTGCATGTGTTAAAAATCGGGGAATGTATAATACATTCCTCAAGTTTCCAAATTACAATATATATATATATATATATCAAGCTTTCTTCTTGAACAAAGATCCCAGGGGCTCCTGATGGAGATCTAAGCACAACAAGTAGCCACGAGTATCTTCTTTTGGAGCGATAAATTCCTTCTAAATTTCACTCATATTTGGAGGATGAAAACCCTAGAAGGTTTCCAAGAAGAGCAAGAAATAGTTTGGGTGTTTTTTTTAGATTTTTTGGCTACTTCAGATTTTTTTTTTAATTT